GAAGGAGGAGGAAGAGGAGGAGGAGGAGGAGGAGGACGACGACGAGAACGGAGGACGAGGAGGAGAGATGGAGGACGAGGAAGGGGAGGAGGAGGAGGACCAGCGGGAGGACGGGAGGAGGACCAGCGGGAGGAGAGGAGGAGGAGGAGGAGGAGGCAGTGAGGACGATGAAGGGGAGGTCGAGGTACTCACCGGGGCGATGGCAGCAGCTCCTCCGCAGCAGCAGCACGGCAGCACGGCAGACCTCCTCTGAGTGCAAGGCGCTTGAGAACGGTGGCGGTAGCTCCTCGAAATGGCCGCGACAGATGACAACCCTACCGAGGCCCATCCAAGCCCACAAACAGTGGGAAGTCCACGAAACAGCAGGTTTCGAAAATTCGAAACCTGGCGGTCCGGCCTTGAGCGGGGTGGGAAAATTTGTTTTTTTGGCCGTCACAACATTTTTGGCGGGGGGCCTCCGATGTGCCGTTTCGACCCCCGCCTTTTTTTTTTTTTGGGGGGGGGGGGTGTTCGGGCCGTGCGCCAGACAGTCGTGCGCCGTACGGTACGGTCCGGCCCGTGCGCCAGACGTCTGGAATGTCGCGTACGACGTACGCTTGCAAGTATATAAAATAGTAAAACCCACCAGCGCTAAAGCATTTTTAGGTCGAGTAATGAAGGTAACCCCTTTACGCGCCCTTGAGGACCTTCTCATCACACGGTACCAAGATAAGCATGCTGTGCTCAAGGCTAGGCTGAAGCTTGAGGCCCTCTAGGGCCAAACATGGAGGTCCTCCATGCAGGCTTTGGAACAACACTTGACTGGTCTATTCACCACTCTAGACCTGGCAATGACCGACGTGTCTTGTATGGATGTAGTCATGGGAGTGGCCCCTAAAGGATACCTCTCCCTGTTAGCACTCAAAGACCATACCTCCTCGCGAGAGCTCATGACGGATCTAGTCAACCTAGAAGTCAAGGACCWCGCCAGGCGGAAGAAGGCGCCCGCTGCAGGTGGAAAACCACAACGAACGCAAGCGGTATGGAAGCAGCAACCAGCTTGCACTGCATGAACATCGGGAGGCTGAAGATCAGTCCTACGCAGATGATATGTCTCTAGATGACGATCTAGAGCCGGAATCCGATATGGGCTGTTCCACATCAGCCATTGAGTCTGACGTGAACGAAGACGAAAAACTTAATGCGTTTAAAAAGACTGCTTCAAACAAGGGGCCTAACCGTGGTTCGGGTAAGGGAACTGTTGTCCACCTCCCCAAGAATGCGAAAATCCCTGAGAAACCGGAGGACGCATCTACCAAGCCTTCGGAAGCCCTCTGTATCAGTCAAAAGGAATGGGAAAGAAGATCTAAATTGCGCATATGCTTGCATTGTCAAAAGCCTGGGCATGCCGTGCAGGAGTGTTATAGACTTCAGGGAAACAGGCAAAGGGCGTAGAAGAGTCATCAGCACTCCCTACAACAAGGGAAGCCGGAACGTCAGTTGCAGGCCCCTCCGATGAGCCTGAATCTGATCAACAGCCTACTCTTGAAGCCCGCAACGACGCTGAATCCAAGGCTGCTGCAGTCCATGTGTTATACACTGAGCCTTGGGAGGAGTCTGAGGAAGTTGACTTCCACGCTCACCTGGAACATTGGCTGCAGCTCAAGCAGCAACGCCGTGTTCAAGGGAGTGTGGAGCTAATTGTTACGATCTTGGTCATTTCCCAAGTGCAAATTCACAACGAAAGACGATGCCACCCAATTGCGAAAGAAATGAAAGCACTTGCAAAGAGATAAAGACCAGAAGAGAGAGAAAGAAAAAGAAAAAGAAGGAGAAGATGTGCACCAGCAAGACCAATGACAATTCCCCCCTTCTCTCTCCACCTTCCTCCTCCTCCTTCACTTCACCAATCTTATTCTTCCCTCAATAATAATAATTACAATAAATGGATGAACCAGAATCAATATCCGAAGTTCCCTCTTACTACTGACTCAACTCAACAACAACAACAACAACAACCAGTCCACCATAGCTATGGCTTCCCTCCTTCAGCCTCCTCTCTCATGCATAGGCTATGGCGGACTAATGAGGGTCTTGCCCTGACGTCCATTGGACAACCCAAAGCAGCTATGGTGTTGCGCAGATGTCCAAAGGACAACACAAAGCAGCTATGCCGCTGCTGACTGGTCCGCCATGCCCGACTCTGTCTCGAGCTTCCTTGGTGCCGCACTACCCCAACAGGGGCCTTCCAGAATGCAGCGCCCCACAAGGTGATGAAGATGGTGTCTACCATAGCCAGGTAAGTGCCCCGCCACTCTCCTACCATGCCCCCTTCTTCCTCCTCCTCAAGCTGGACTGCTCGCCATAGCCAGGTTGAGCTCCAGCGGCCCTTCACCTCCAAGCAGCGCTGCACCAGACCACCGCTGTGCTCCAGCAGCATGTCGCCAATCCTTGCACACCGCAAATGAGGAAGAACTCTTTGCTCTTCCTAGAGATATAGCGGTCTACCGGCCTCCTGGGCGGTGACTTCCCAGGCCGAGCGGCCTCCCAGCAACCGGTACCTCCTCCCTTTCGGAGGGAACATCATTGCAGGCTCTGCTATCCTCCTCCGTACACGCCCTAGACCCGGGCTACAAGAACTGGTACCGGCCTACCGCTATCCTACCGCTACAGGGCCTCTAAAAATGGCAACTTTTTGTTTTCTTCTGCTGGGCCTAGAGTACTCGACACTTCTACAACTGCTTCAGTGGTACCGGCCTACTTGCTACTTGAGTGTTTTCCCCTCTGCTCAAGTGTCGCGGGCCTACCCCTGCTACTCGAGTGTTTTCCCCCTGCAACCCTTCACAGTCACGGCCACAGGTAAGTACCGGCCCTGCGGGGCCTTGCAACCAACAAGTACCCTTGCGGGTCACACACACACTCAACCGACAAGCACTCAAACAAGCATGCAAACCAGCAGGCACGCACACACACACAGACATGGAAATCACAGCAGAATGCGGGAATTTCAACAAGGCATTCATTCCAGCGGCAAATCCCAGAAATCAGCAGTGTTCTCATTCTGTGTTTTTGGCGGGTCATTACATTACCCCCCTCTCAAGAGCGAGGTCCCTTCGAGCGAGTAACTCATTCAGAGATGGCCCAAAATGCGTCGTAGGAGTAAATCAGAAAGAGAGACTTAGTAAGTCTGTAAGGAGTTATTTTTGCAACAAATTTAGCAGTCTGTCCCTTAGCAATCTGTCGTTCATAAGCGTTCACAACACGGGGAGCACTCTTTAGCAGCTCTTTTCGGTTGATCCAGAAGAATGCATTCAACGGGTGATAGAGGAAGTGAACCTTGTACTGTCTGTTCCTCGCTCTTCCCTTGTGAGAAACGATTTTGTCTATCTCATGGCCGCTGTCGATCCGGCGAGGTATCATAGGGTCTCGGAAGGAAACGTCTCATCATCAATGTGTGGAAACAGTTTGGATGCATGAAAGACCGGATAGGACTGCAGATGAGGAGGCACGTCAATCACATATGAAGGACCAAAATAATCCCCAATCACCTTCAGAATCTGCCAAGGGCCGTAGTACAATGGAAGGAGTTTTCGTGATATGCCCTCTTCATCAGAAAACTCAGACATTTTAACCCAAACATAATCCCCTACTTTGAATTTTTCTTCTTTACGCAACTTGTTAGCATGTTTGATCATGGCATGCTGGCGCTTGTTCATGGCTGCAATAACAGCTTTGAGCAAGCGTGCGTACTTGGCATTGTAGGCAGGCATGCCGGGCATCAGACCAGGTGACCGTTCAGGGAACAGATAGGAGAGGGGATTTCATATCGGCCATCCATATTGCAACTGGTTTGGTGTCACGCCAGTTGCAGAGAATGAAGTTGTTATACAGCCCCTTCACTTTGTGCAGCTCCTTGTCCCACGTGTTCTAATATGGAACAATCAATGCGCGAAGTAGTTGGATGACAGTCTGGTTGATCTCCTCGGCCAATCCATTGGCTTCGGAGTGTTGACCAGAAGTCTTGTTCAGTTTAATGTCATAGATTTGAGAGGTGAAGTCCTTTCAATCTTTGCTGATGAATCAGGTGTCCCGATCACTCACAATAGTTTTTGGGACGCCAAACTGCAGAATATACTGTTGATGGAATTCTTCAATGACAAGTTCAGTCGGGGCATGGGGAGGGAAAGGAATAAAGTTCAGAAATTTAGAAGAACGGTCCACGATGACCTTGACTTGTGAATTTCCAGCCTCACTCACCTTTCCCATGTCCGTGAAGTCGATGGAAATCAACTCACCGGGTCCATCCGGAATGGGGAGGGGTCTCAACAGACCATAAGGCTTATACCTGTGGACCTTGGTTCTTTGGCATACCTAACATTCAACAATAAATTTTTGAGCAGATCCTTTTATTCGTGGCCAATCAAATTGCTGCAGAAGACTTCCATAAGTCATCTCAAAGCCGAAATGTCCACTCCAACCATGTGCCAAATCCAAGAAATGAGTTCGGAGAGGCGCATGGTTGGGTACACACAGACGATCAAATTTTCCATACCGGCGGAACACAAGACCCTCACATTCATAAGAATCAGGCTGATTGTTAGGGTCAGCCTTGAGTTGCTCAAGGATGGGACTAAGGTCCGGATCCTTGGCGGTGTGTTCGACCAGATCCTCCTTCAGTTTCCTTTGGAGGTCATACGAACCCACAAGGCAAGTCAAAAACTCAGGGTGACGCGACAAAGCATCAACAACGTGATTATAACAACCTTTCTTATGTTCCAATTCAAAATTGTACACATCCATGTCATGCAACCAGTGGTTCAGCGCAGGAGAGAGATCAGTTTGTGTCTTAATCCACTAAAAGGTCTGATGATCTAAGTAGACCTTGAAGTGCCGACCCAAGAGGTCGTGCTTCCAATGTGTGAGCGCCTCGGGCAAGGCGTAGAGCTCACGCATGTATGTGGAGGTAGCTACCTTGTGGCTGGGCATGCGTTTGCTGTAGTATTCGAGCGGACGCAGGCCATCACCATCATCTTGTTGCAACACTGCACCAATCCCAAACTGGCTCGCATCCGCAGTGACTACGAATGTGAGGTTGGGATCCGCAATGCGGAGCACAGGATGACTCACCAATGCCTCCTTTAAGGCTTGGAACAAAGTCTCACACTTCTCACACCACGCATAGGCACCATTCTTACTGGTCAGTCTTGAGAGTGGGTGAGCAAGGACATAAAATTTTGGCACAAACTTCCGGTAGTACGAAGCCAAACCAAGAAAAGAACGTAGTTCGCGTACGCTCGCTGGTTGAGGCCAATTTCGGATGACCTCCACCTTGGTTGCCTCCGGCTCAAGGCCGTTTGCAGACAACCGGTGCCCAAGATAGATGACGCTGTCCCTTTCGAACTCAAATTTCTCTAAGTTGAGGTGCAGTTGTGCCTCCTTGAGGACCTGCAAGACCTCCACAAGGTGCTTGAGGTGCTCTTCCATGGACTTGCTGAAAATCATAATATCATCAAGGTACACAACCACAAACCTGTTGAGCTGATGGCGGAGTACCTTGTCCACGAGGCTCTGAAATGTGGCTGGTGCATTCGTAAAACCGAAGGGCATAACGATGAATTCGTACAGCCCATCGCGTGACTTGAATGCAGTTTTGTGCTGGTCACTCGGATCAACTTCAATCTGGTGGTAGCCAGATTTGAGGTCGATCTTGGAGAAGACCTTGCACCCACCTGCAGCATCTAGCAGATCATCTATACGAGGCAAGGGATGCACGTTCTTCCGGGTGATACGGTTTAGGCCACGATAGTCAATGCACATTCAGAGTTTGCCTCCTTTCTTCGGCACAAACAGGACAGGTGCACCGAACTCAGACTCACTAGGCCTAATCCATCCTTGATCGATCATGTCATCAATCTGCCTCCTCAATTCCTCCAACTCGCCTTGTCCCATACGGTAGACGCAGCCCTTTGGAGGAACACTCCCTTCTATTATCTCGATCTTGTGTTTGACCGGACGCTTGGGAACTCCACGAGATTCGGCCCAAACTTCAGGAAATCGATCTAATAGGTGGTGAATGTTTGTTGGGACTTCCTGTGGAGGATCATCCTCATCAGGAGATAGAAAATCAGTTTGAGAATTTACAGCAATTACAACTGGATTTGAGGTACTTGGATCAGAAGTAGAGGGATTATTCACGGTAGAAGTAGATGGATTAGAAGTAGAGGTGGTAGAAGTAGAGTTCCTTACCGAGGTAAAAAATGCAGCAAAAGTAGAAGGCACATGGAGAGGCTTTACAAAAGCTACATGTACATGCTCAACTTCCTTGCGCCTGCGCACTGATTTGCAGAATTTGTTTGCACTTAGAAGAGTCACAGGGGACTCGCGCGTCTCATCCAATAGGACGGTACGCTCGTTCCCCTTGGCATCACGCACCACGAACTGATTGTCCGCCCACGTGGTCCTTAGGCAATGAGCCTTTAACCAGCCCAAGCCAATGAGCGCGTCGAACGGACACTTGTCCATGACATAGAAGTTGAGCTCATGTGTGACAGTGCGGTCCTTGTCAAAGGTGACGCGCACACCGTTGAAAACATGTGTAGAGGTGACAACCTCTTGGTTGCCCACCTGGGTCTGACAAGGGTTTTGCAGTTCCACTTGCTTCATTCCCAGGCCCGCCTTACGAATCCCGTTAGGAGAAAAGAAATTAGTGGTTGAACCACTATCGATCAGCATGCGGATGTATCGGCGGTTAATGAGCAGTTTAAAGAAGGTTAGCTCCACACTCCCTTGAACACGACGTTGCTGCTTGAGCTGCAGCCAATGTTCCATGTGAGCGTGGAAGTCAACTTCCTTAGGCTTCTCCCAAGGCTCTTGTATAGCACATGAACTGCAGCAGCCTTGGAATCAGCGTCGTTCCGGGCTTCAAGAGTAGGTTGTTGGTCAGCTTCAAGCTCATTAGAGGGGCTTGCAACTGATGTTCCAGCTTCCGTTGTTGTAGGGAGTGTTGATGACTCCTCTACGCCCTTTGCTTGTTTCCCTGAAGTCTATAAAAGTCCTGCACAGCATGCCCAGGCTTTTGACAATGCAAGCATATGCGCAGTTTAGATCTTCTTTCCCATTCCTTTTGACTGATACGGAGGGCTTCCCAAGGCTTGGTAGACGCATCCTCCGGTTTCTCAGGGATTTTCGCATTCTTAGGGAGGTGGACAACAGTTCCCTTACCCGAACCACGGTTAGGCCCCTTGTTTGAAGCAGTCTTTTTAAACGCATTAAGTTTTTCGTCYTCGTTCACGTCAGACTCAATGGCTGATGTGGAACAGCCCATATCGGATTCCGGCTCTAGATCGTCATCTAGAGACATATCATCTGCGTAGGACTGATCTTCAGCCTCCCGATGTTCATGCAGTGCAAGCTGGTTGCTGCTTCCATACCGCTTGCGTTCGTTGTGGTTTTCCACCTGCAGCGGGCGCCTTCTTCCGCCTGGCGWGGTCCTTGACTTCTAGGTTGACTAGATCCGTCATGAGCTCTCGCGAGGAGGTATGGTCTTTGAGTGCTAACAGGGAGAGGTATCCTTTAGGGGCCACTCCCATGACTACATCCATACAAGACACGTCGGTCATTCCCAGATCTGGAGTGGTGAATAGACCAGTCAAGTGCTGTTCGAAAACCTGCATGGAGGACCTCCATGTTTGGCCCTTGAGGGCCTCAAGCTTCAGCCTAGCCTTGAGCGCAACATGCTTATCTTGGTACCGTGTGATGAGAAGGTCCTCGAGGGCGCGTACAGGGGTTACCTTGAGCCACTCAGTCAGGTCAATTCTTTCATAACCTGCAGCAACAGCTTGTAGTTCAATGTTATTCCGTACGGCGGGCTCAGTATTAGTGCCCATGATCATGTTTCGGTCTTCTTGCGGTGTCCGCATGACCTCGAAGTATGACCGCATGGAACTAATCCAAGAGGTGATATCCGCTTTCCCGTCGTACTTGGACGGCAAGGTGGCCGCCCGCTTGGCCACTACGGGACCGTTGTATTGAACGACAGTAAGGACTTCGGCGTTTTGGGCTGATGTCCCTGCATTTGGGACTATGACTAGTGCAGAGCTGCCGGCGCTGCCGGTCGAGGAGCTGGCACCGGTTCCTGCGCTCGTCACAGTTCCACTTGCTCTTGCCACGAGGACTGTGTTAGATTGAGAGACTGGGACTGCAGCAGGCTGAGGGTTAGGAGGGCGGGGGGGCAGACAGTTGGGACTGTTTGAGGCTGAGTAGCTCAGGCTGCAACTCTTGGTTTCGCTGTTCTAGTGCTGTCACACGGGACTCAAGGTCTTCCAAGGTCCGCAGTCGAACCAAGGCTGCTACGGCAGCAGCTAGTCCCTCCTGGAACCGGTCAGCATTGGCTTCCGGGATCGGAAGGAGGGCCACCTGATCAGCAATGTTGGCGGCTCTGCCTGCTGCCTCTGCCTCCTTTTCCCTCTGCACGACATCATCATAAAGCTTCTGGAAGAACGGTCTCTCGTTCTCATGTGCTGCATCCAGCATGGCGTGCCATTGGGCAGATGTGATGTTTGCCATGCCGGAGGAAGGGGTGTCAGTAGATCTCTCAATAGGGGTCCGCTCTCTCCTTGCGTTTGGACGAACACTCCTCTTGCCCCTCCTCACACTCTCAAACACAACACCTTCTGTCTCCCTTCTCTCTCTCTCAGCTGTCTGCGCACGCGTCTCGATACCGAACATAGATAGTTAAGATGAAAGAAACAAGCAGGAAATCAGACAGAGGAGGAGGTAGAACTCCTAGCCGGAGCGGCGATTCATTTGGACTTGGAGAATGGCACGCAGCGGAATAAAAGAAAAAAAGAAAAGAAAAGAAAAAAAACGGAAGAGAGGGCTGACTTATAGAACGGGCCCGATCAGATTAGCTGGAGATCCCCTCTTGTCTAACCTGACAAGGGACATGTATCATAATAAATCAGCCGAAGAAAGCTAACTGCAACAATGGAGATTTCGAGGGGTGCAGACGGTCGTCGAGCCAGACGCGGGGCAGTATGTGCTAGCATGCGGTAAGGCCAGTCAAGATCCCCTTGAAAGGAATGCCCTTGTTGTCCGTATGTCCCCCAAGTTCAGCACAACAAAGAAATGCACTGGCGGCAACAGATCTGGGCCCAAAAGGTCCTGTCCCGTTGGGCCTGGTCCCACTGGGTCTCGAGGGGTCCAAAGTAGGTCGTGGACGAGGACCAACGTGATAGGGGTACCAAGTCGGTCCCGAACTGCCTCTACCGTACTGAAAAGGAAAAGACAACTTCCAACAAGAACTTACCCCTACAGCCGTTCATAAATGAAAAGACAATGCACCGTAGAAAGATATGTCATTTAGAATAGATACATCATCCATCCATCCATCAGGTGAGAAAGCAATCCACATGCTCACACACACAACCAAGACCGCAGAGAAGAGGAAGAGAGCCCAGCACACCCCCAACAGGCCATGAAGTACCAAGCAAAATCCCACGGGCATAACCAGGTCACACGGCACGTACCTGTGAGGCCCGGCCTCCAAAGATGGATAACGAGTCACCCCCCTCTCTCATAAGTCCTCCTGACCCCTAGCTACCACTACACGAAGTGTCCTAGCATGACTAAGAGGGCCTTCCTACACCCCTGTTGCAAAGCCGGATCCCCCGTCGATGTTTGAAGACCAAAGTAGCAACTTGCAGCAATCAGATGCAGATATGGCAGCCTCCGATCAAGTCTCCCTCTCGAGGGGAAGCCCAAAAGTCACTCAATGTCTTCTTGAAGTGCAGATTCCAGGTGCGACTACCTCTCACTCTTTACTCCCTCTCGCTTACTCCAATCAGCCTCCTTTGTGTCTCGCCACCCCATCCATTCACTCAGTCAACCTGGTTAGGTCAAATGTCGACCCTACATGACCTAACCAGGTGGGGGCAGTATCCACATACCTCACTGCCCCACTTAACCCTAGCTTCCGACCCTAGTCCGAAGTTAGGTTAGCCCTGACCTAATTCGGAATTAGGTTTAGGGTGACTAACACCTCTCGCCAGCAAGTAAGTCCGCTCCGATACCAATTGTTACGATCCTGGTCATTTCCCAACT